TGAGGGTTGTTTGTCCATTTTGTCTGTGAGTTTAGTCGTCAAGTTTAATGTATCTACATTTGAGGTTTGTCTTTTAGCTGTTACCTTAATAGAGGATCGTCGTTTAATAAAGCATCTGTCTGGGTCAGCACCATGTGATTTTGTTCCAAAACATGGCAGATTTTCTGGTCCTTTTCATAGGTATTGACGATGAAATCGGCGTGCTTTATTTCAGAAGATCCCATCAAATGCCCAAACTCGCTTTTGTTATCCGTGCTCTGAAAACTCTGTATTTAAGAAAAACCTACTAGGAAAATTTGCGTAAAGCTACCTGCTTAAAGTAGCCCATATCATCTTCAGGGATATTGCGCACGTAGCAGTTGAAGTCAAAGTTGTTTTTAATGATGGTTCCAACTGGAGGCAGTGACTGTTGTTGGTATCCATTATTTGGCGTATCCAAGTCGTGGATTTCCGTCGGCCATTCTCCCATATCCAGAGATCCATCGGATAGTGCATCGCAAAAATTAATATTGTCAAAATCTCCCTTTGGTTGTGTTGGAATGGTGATGGGGAAACATGCTTCTCCATCCTCGTAGCTCGGCTCAGCCTCGAAAGTTATCGGAGGAGGTACGAAGAAGTTGGAAAACTGCTTATTGCCAACGTTACTTTCTTCGCAATCCCTTGAATGTTCCGTGGTGAATGTTTCTGTGTCAAACTCAACCACTGTGGTCGAATCGGAGAACGAGTCTCGAACGTTCTGGTCAAAATCCTCCACGAAATCATTGAAGTCAAAGTTTATATCACAATCTCGTGGACTGGCTGCAGAATCTTCAGATATAAGATAGTCGATTAGATAGTCGTCTTCGGCATTCGTCCCAGGCGTTGGGTGTAATTCTTTTGAAGCAGGCGGAGGGTTTTGCAAGTCTCGGAAAGTTTCGACAATGTCCGATTTGGACACTGCTTGCGCTTCATAGAAGGCCAAGTTGAATTTTTCCATCAGCTCAGATTGGGAGAAGTTGGTTACGGGGTTGTAGAATTGGTCGTAGGAGCGTTCCATTATCGGTCTCACCAGCATCTGAATTGCAGATAATTGCAATGTGAAATGGACATTATGCACTTTTAAATTTTATTTGAAAAAGCTGTTTTGCTGTAATAGATTGTCTTAATTTTTCGAAATATTTTTTTGCGTTGGAGAAGTAATATGATTTCAGTTTGAGCCACCATATTTACTCAACTCGAAGGATAGGATAAACGAAACAAAAAACAGGATAAACATTGCATGATTGTTTTACAATTTTTTTTCAGTTTCAAAAATCTACATCGCTTGGGGCTTTTAGAGAAATACATTTAATTTAATTCTAATTTGTCATTAAGACGCAATTAATAAAATAAACCGCTCAAACAGCCATCTTTGTACCACCCCCTGTAACTTTCTTCATTTTCCCCTATTATTTTACACATTTTCTTGCTTTTATTGCAATTTCATAACCATACGTTTTGTATTTCGGATGGAGTGTTTGTTGAGTTTGGATGGAGTTAATGGCTTTCATATATTTTATGTAACAAAATCTTACTGATATTTCACATCGTTTACTTTTTCCTTACTTTATAATTATCTGCAAAAAATAATTGGCAACAAATGTTCTTTTGTCTTTCTGCGGTTTTCTACTAAATAATGTCAAAAGTACAACTTAGCTTCAGCGATAAATATAGTTTTAACGAATCAATGTTTTGTTACATATTTTTTGTTGGTAAACAAATTTTTGTCTGCGTAAACTTAAATAAGTATATGGGCAAGGGCAAAAGAAAATTTTTTTATTTATATATTTTTTAACTGAAAATTTATATTGATAACTTGCAGCTGACTGATGTATTTACGAATTGAAAAGAGAAAATGAAAAAGAGCATTTGCAATTTTACTGCGAAAATTATATTAATTAATTAGCTTTGAAAAATACATTAGTACCGAATAAATCATTTTAATAGTTCAATATTAATCCCTAATTAATTAAAGTTCTGGTCTGCATTTGCAACAATAAGAACATATTTGTATGCTATTTTATACCACTTCGTATTATTTTGAATGTTTGGAAAATCACTTTTTACGCTGCTCGGCTTTTTACGATTTTACGCTACTGAAGAAATTTGAGAAACTGGCGCGATTTTTCAAATAAAATTCTAGTTGGAAAGCAACGCAAAATATAAATAAACATTTTCATAATATACATTATTTTATCAACTCAACTCATCACCACGCTTTTTATTACAACTAAGTAATTCAATGTAAAAAATCCATCAGCGAAACTCACCTTAAGTCACTCGATCAAACACGCACTTTCACAAAATAATGTAAAGAAAAAAACAAAAAAAAAACATAAAAAAATTACGAAAACTAATGCATCGTTCTATTGCGATGTGAGACTAGTGGAATGAAAACCGATGTGTTTCATTTAAGCACTATTTCATAATTAAGATGACAATCATAAGAGATATATTTTTAAACCCCTGAGGAAGGCGTGCGAGTGAAAAGGGACGAGTCTCGGAGATACTCGGGATCAAGTCGGGACTAGGACCAATTAGCTTCCCGAATTACTAGCATTCCTTCGGGCTAGGGTTGAGAGGTTAAGCACCTGTTTGTTTCGTATTGATTTTTTATCGTATTTTTTATTATTTCTTTTATTGCGTGCACTTGTTTATAAGAACTTGTTAAAACTTCTTGCTGTAGATAAGATACCTTGGACCATATTTATTACTAATTCACTTTGTTTAACTAAAATTTGATCCTCTGTTGCTGTAAACGGCCAAGATTAATTTCGTGGTTTTAAAACATTAACAATTGACCACAAAAATCTCGACCACCAGACGCTGACATATTTCCTGTTTTTATTATTTTTTATATATTTTTTTGTTCTTATTTACATTACTATCAATGAAGCCATTATTTACTAATACTGTCTTTTAACGAATAGAAATGGAGTGGGATGGAAAAAAGTAGGGAAACGGTGAACTTTTGATATATCGGGTGGGCCAATTGAATTAGGCGCGTTTAATTTTTTAAATTTCATAAATTTTATGTTTCTTTATAAAAAACGCATTATATTTACGGGCCAGGTCAGCACAAGTCAACATTTGAACCCTATTTGAACTTAAAAGTGTGCAAGTTTCTACTTGTTGTAAATGTTTCACTGGACTTGAATCATTGATAATTATCTTCGCCAGATCGTATTGCATAAATTCCACATTTATGTCATCCAGACAGAGATAAATAATTCTCATTTCGTTTGGCCATCTTTCTCTAAAAACTCGGAGACAAGTGCATATTGGTATCAAATTACATGAAGAGGCTGAGAAAAAAAGCGGCCAGCCACGTGCAATCCACCAATCAAAATCCGAATAGTAAAGGAAAGGAGATGTCGTTAACACTCGTCCATAAATTGTTTTGTTTAGACCTGTCTAGGCACTAATTTTTTACTGTTAAATAAGTGTCGTTATTAAGGCTTCATTTGCTTAGCTTGAAATAGGAGAATAACCAGAATTTTTTTATTTAGCTTTATTGTACAATTTATTGCTCGATTTTTATAAGTTGTGTGTATTCTCAGTTCCATCCTCTTGTTTCGAAGATTTACAATTTTCAAATTGTCTGCTTTTGATGGTGTTTTCTTCTATTGCTATTTTCATTCATTATCAAGTAAAATTCATTCCTGGGTTTCAGTCATTTATTGTCTCTATTTATCAATCAAAATACGTTTCGGTGTATTGTTCCACCATCATCAGTTTTTCTAAAATAACAGATAGTTAAAAAAAAATTCATTAATTTAAAAAACAACCAGTTCGTCAACAGCCTCATCAGATCACACATTAAAATACATCACAATTGCAATACTTTAAAACATTCTAAAACCCAGGAATGAATTTGATTTGGAATTGAAACACAGCCAGGAAAGTATATACAATGAATTATCAAGTAACCACAAGTTGGCTATTATTTATTAATTAGGTAAGAAGTATTAGTACTATAAAGTTGTATAGGGTGTCCCAAAAATTGGGTACAATCATTTGACGAACAGTCTGTTTCTCATACAGACGTGAATTTCCCGAATGGTTTCATAAGGTAAATTTATGAAAAATATTCCATTTTTCTGTTATTTCATCCTCACACATATGGCCGACAGTCAGTTCGGGTGTGTTTTTGTTGTGAAACGAATGGGGTTAATACTCCGCAAGACAAAAAAAACCAAGCCTGAAACACGATACGTTGCTCGCTTGGTGCACGTATATTAAGAGGTTTTTTTCGATGGTTCTCTTAATTAAAAATATTGTAGGGCCAACGGACAAACAGTTTTTTTTTCGCCGAGAAATGCTCAGACTTTGGTGTTGAGTAGTTTAGTCCTAAGCCAAGAAAAAAAATTAAAGGTTGAATATGTCAACTCCAAAAATTATTGGCGTCGTTAATATATTGAAGTAGCAGTTATTGGGATCAGGTTTCGATTTTTTGCTTGCATGTCAGGAGCGTTAAATTAATATGTCAATCACCCGTTTGAATTTATGGATTTTAGTGTTGTTCGTTTGCTGTAATGGGGTCGTATTTCGTTCATTAATTAGCGTCGATTCTTCAGGCTAATATAATATTGCATACATTACCCAACAACTTTATTTAGTGGCTACTGAATGGTTTTATCAAGTTTTCTACCAGCTGGAAACAGGTTGCTTGTGCAGAAGTGTTCTGATATATTTTTCTATAGTCCACGTATGAAATATTTTTTCCATAAGTTTGATGAGGTAAAAATAAACCGAAAAAGTTTGATTTTTTCGGTTAACTATCTAATACATCGTTTTTCTGGAATTTAATTTTAAAAACTTCCTGTTGATGATTTCACAGAAGTTTAAAACACTTAAATCTCATTGATAAAATCTGAAGTTAATAGGTACAGAGATTTTGCTGGCCAGTTTACTTATTTCAAAATGAGCATAGACATTTTTACAGCAAACTTTTTAAAAAGCAAATAAATGTTTTGAAAAATTGTATTATTATAATTTCCTCATTGACTCTTATGTGAGCGAGTTTTTAATTGAATATTAAAGCAATACTTCGTAATACTGTTCAGATAGTGTTCAATCGGGTTCATTAAAACCGCGCAAAAATGTTTTCTGATTTCTTCAGAGTTGTTAGGTAAAGAGTATCATGTTTACTGTTGACAAGAAATTCATCTGTAGGCTTTCCATTTTTCTGCTTCTTTCAAGTCCGTCAAGAGGTCATATTCCCAATCGCAATTTTAGCACGATTTTCTTATTCAAATGCCTACGTTTTCCTGCAGCATACTTTACTAACTACAGTTTGACTCGTTTGTCTTTTGTAAGTCTTTTTTGAGACACTGGTTGATGTGGAACTCTGCTGCATGAACAGTACTACCAGAAACAAATATATCAGAAATTAATTATGAGTTTCGGACTTTAACATATTGACTTTCTAGGTATGTTCTTCAAATGATTCTCCTCCTAAATCACCCCAATATTTAAGAGGAAAATCGGTTCGAAAATATGAATCAAGTAATAGTTTTGCATATAACTCTTACTGAAGTGGATTGAATTACTCTAAGTAAGTGCAGAACATATTTATAGAACAAAACGCTCCCCTGCTTTACAACAGATTCATATCTGAACAACAACACATTACACAACACGTGTTCTATAAACGTAAAAAACTGAACGAAGGAGAAAAAAATGCTCGGGCCTTATTTTAACCAGCTCGTTTCATTTCTTATTTGTATATTATGAATTATCTGTATATTATTTCGGAAAGACAGCTGCGCCGATCCTGCCATTGTTTTTTAGGTCGGCTCGCGACTGTTTTTAGAATCTTCGGTCCGGGAGACAATAAAAGTGTGAAAGAAATTCAAGTTAAAGGTGGAAAAGGCGTTTGGTTAACACGTGCTAATGATTTTCAGATGACAACAGTCATTAATGTCCCGTTAGAAGTATACCCAATCTGCTATTGAATAAAAATCAATTATTTAGCCAAAAAAAACCTCCATGGAAGAAATAATAATTTCGGAAATTGATGCCAAAATATAAGAAAAAATATATTGAAAATATTTTTACGAACGTTTTGGTTAACATTCAGTTTCTGGTTTTGTAGTTTCAGTTAATCGTAGAAACGTTTTTCATAAGGCAACTTTTGCTAACATTCTATGAATGTGGAAAAATATTGGAGATGCAAGCAATGGAAATGAAGCTTTTATTAAAGTGCGTGAAGGGAAATTTGAGGCATTCGCTTGAAGCTGTTTTAAGACATTGAAGCTGTTTTTAATTTGGGACAAACAATAATCTACACTGCGAGCAAAAGGTCAACAATTGTGCTTTGGTTTTATTTCCAAAACCAAACCTAAAAGAGCTTTGGTTTTGGTGCATAATTGCTTTTGACTTTAATTTTGTTCTATTTTATTTAACATACTAAGTTTTGTACTGCGTACGTTCATTTTCATAAAATTGTACTTAAATTACAACATCAAATGTGAGCACATTCTTGGTTGTTTTCTCCTTTTGGACTTTTTTTAATGTATGATTGTTTTTTGTTTGATCAATTGTAGTCGATGATAAAAAATCGTTTAATTAATTAATTAATTAACAGTAGTCGAAGTTTAGAAAACTTAAAATTAAAGAGGCATATTTTAAAGATTTTACGACACATTACAGAAACACGTTCATGTGTTCATTTGATCGGAGTTTCAGATTAGAATTTAATTCTTAGAAGCTTTTAACTTTTTCTGTCTTCTTTGAACTTTTTCTAGCGGTTTTAAAAGCTGAAAGCGGCAATAAAGCGAAGCAAATTGCATACGTATAGGTCTAAACTAATAAGCCTTTGCTGGTGTTTGGTACAGTTAATTCCTGCACGCAATGTGCATAAGAAAAAGTAGAGTTTCTCTTGTTCTTGGATTTGTTTTGATGACAAAAAGCCCCGTCTTTATTACTGTCATGTGGAGCGGCTCTAGTGAAGGTTCCAGCTTGGATTAAATTTCACTTTAATGCCCTTTTTCTAGGAGCATAAGCATATAGGAACGTAATGTATAGCCGGAGTCGTACATGAACCATTGTTTTTAACGTTCGCTTTTTTAGGCCGTATTTTATTCTATTTTCTTGGTAAAAGAGTACCGGCTAAGGCAACATTACTTTTCTCATTATTTCTGACCAGTGGCGACGTGAATAGTTTATTATTAATTAAATCGAATGAATTGCGGTCTTAATATCTTTGCCTCTAAGTTTCCGTCCAAGAGCTAGATACTACCGAATGTCTTCGCAGGAGAAAACGGTTTAGGTTTATTATTTATGTTTGGTTTTAGGTATATTTTTGGAAATTTTTTCCTAAACAATCAGTAGAAAAGATTTTGCTTCAATATTTTCTGGCCCAAGAAGCACTTACATGTTGTGCTCTGTTGCACTCAAAATAAATATCAACAAAAAAACTCGTTTGAACCCTCGAATTTTCCTGGACATTTATCAACACATTTTATATACATCAGCCCATGACAGTTGATTTTAGGATGTTCATAAAGCAAAGCCACCACTTATTATTAAAGTGTATTTTCCAATATGGTATTAATTTTGCTTATACATTTACATACACTTACAGCTTAATAATTTACAATACCGTTTTTGATGTAAAAAATATTAATATACTCTAAATTAGCCTTAATTTATATAGGATCATTTCAATTCACTTAGTACAGAGGATGTTCCGTCGTTGATACTATCAGGAATTAGACCTTTTTCTGGAAAAAAATTTAGCAAAAGTCAATATCAGTAAATTCATTTATTTGAGCTCATTTACCGATGGCCTGTCTTTAATGTATGCTTCGGAACACACGTTGATGGCATTCCATGGATTGACCAGTTTACATTCGCAATCTAATCCTTGTTCGGCATTAATCAGTTGCTCAACGATATTGGAAGCAGCGACATGAATGAACTGTTTCTGGCCGTCTTCATTCAATGCTAAGAAGTTGTCGTTAACAAAAGCATTTCCACGGTTCTGAAAAATGAATTTCAATCAAAATGGATATTTCCTGACTAATGAACGTAGGTGTAAAAAGTTTCAAACAACTACGTTTGCGCTATTGCAGGGTACATTTTTTTGCGTTTACATGAGAAAAGGTTTTGTGGGTCTTTGCGGTTGAGAATTAGCGAGCGTTAAAGCGCGCGTGCAGAACAATAACTCATAAAAAATTCGAAAAAATTGACTTAAAGTGGTTTCAACAGTAGCACTAGAGCCTTGTTCATTTTTATAGGAAGGAAAAGTGAAATTTTGTCGATTTTCGAGCTTTGAAAGGAGCCAATTTGAAGCAAAGGTTTAAACCGACTTTGGAAACTTGCAAAAACTAAGAGAAAATATATGAGAAACGGTGTTAGCAGCCACATTTGCTCAATTACAGCGAACATTTTTGTACTACATTTTCTACATTTTGTTACAGCGGACGTGCGCTTTAGACCTACACAAGGCCTAAAATGCCTTATCAACATTCCTGAACATTTTGAAAAAAATCGATGTAAATGTCTACGTTTTATCAAATCCAGTTTCCGTAAAAAATCAAATAAAACGGAGATCTCTTGTTTTTGCAGTCTGCAAAACTCTTTGAAAAGTTTTTAAGAAAGTCCACGAAAAACTTTTTAAACAACCACATTTCTCATTTACAACTATTTTTTTTTAATTTATGTTAAATAGGAAGAACTTTTGCGGCTTTTTGCGATTTACAAGCTCGCTTTGAAGCAAAACGTTCATACCACAGGTACTTAAAACTGTAAATATTTCTGAATTTTTTGTTTGAAATTAACGTGATCCGGGCTAAAAGGCCTCCTTTACTCCACAACTCCACTGTACGTTTTGTAGCTTTTGGTGTCTTAAAATTGCGATAATTTTTCGTATAAATTGTATAAACGCCGCATTTAGATACATATTTCGTGTTTAAGTGAAAGAAATTGAACTTTATTGTGCGAATGTCGCTGTTTATGTCTTTTCACGTGCAATTTATTGGGAAATTTCAAGAATTATCGCAAATATCGAGTGTCTCTGTTTCGAGTTGCAGAGAAATGTTCCTCATAGGATCCCTTGAATTACCTTGATAGTGAATCCTACACAGTAGTCCTGGTAGTTGAGTTCTTTGTGGAGGTCAGGTGTTCCTTTGGGATTCTTCTTCGCTTGTGATACAGTGAACACGTTAGTGTCGCTGAAACCAATGATGTCTTTGGTCTTTTTCGCGTCTTTTGCCAGTAAACTGCCGAAGGGAGTGAACAGGTTGAGGCTCAATTTCGAGTTCTTGTAGCTCAAAGCAATGGCTCGTTGAATCTGCAAAAAGTGGTTTGGTGATATTGTTAAAAGCCCCACCGAAGCGATTAAAACCAAAGAGTTGCTCTGACATTTATTATAAAAGAAGCGACAAACAAGTGGCAAGAAAAACTTGCATGAGGTGGGAAAGAAATGCTCAAGGAAAAAGATAGATGACTTTAATTAAGGGCAAATTATGAAACTTTGAGTGGAAGATGGATAGGGTTAATCACATTTTGATTCAACTTTTAAAGCATTAGAAGAAGAAAATTGTCTATCAGAAAGAGCGACCTGAGAAGGTTTCAGGATGATCAAGCACGAAGAAAATTGAAAAATCCTATTGATCGTAGGAGAAAAAGATGCGAACATGATTCAAATTCAGCACTCCAGGTTTAATATCTATTCATCAGATATTCTGCAAAGAAACAAAATGTTTCCCGAAGTTGTATCACGCACGCCAAATTAATAATATAAGCCGTGTTGGACTTGTTGGTCTTCTTAAATTGGTAAATTCACCGAAACACACAACGAACCAATGTTCAAAGGTAATGCAATCGTCTTTTTTTTAACAAATTACTACTAGGGATGAAAAACGGAGCGTCTACAATAACGTTAATCGAAAAGAGTCATGGTCCAGGCATGATGAACCAGCGCAAACCATATCAAAAGCTGAGTAGCATAAAAAACGAAAATCAATTTGGAGGGATTACAAAGGTGTTATGTATTTTGAGCTGCTTCGAAAAAACTTGTGAAATTGGAGGAAGAAATCAAAGAGAAAAAAACAGAATTGGTAAATCGCAAAGGAATGGTGTTCCACCACGACAGTGCGAGGCCACACAATCGAACAGACTGATTGAAGTTACTAAAAACCCGAAAGTACTTTCGTGCCAACGCTATAAGGCTTACCAAGGCAAATTTGCCCTCTTCACATGGTGCACCATTAACTACGATGATGGACTTCAAAGCATTGACTCGGAAAGGATAGTTGGTGGCCTCGTCAAAGGTTTGCGCCTTCAGGTTGATGCCAGTGGCAAGTCCCAAGTCGTGCAACAGTTCCTTCAGCCGTAAAACAGCTTCGCGCAACTGGAAAAAATAAAAATTTTAAGTTAAAAATTTTACTCCAACTTCCTCCTAGATGAGTTGAATGAATCCAACCTTTTGGTTTTCTATTTGACTGACATCGTATTCGCTTTTGGGGTCTTCGGCGAATTTGAGTCCGGGAGGTTTGCCCTTGAAGGTCAGTTTTCCGTTTACAGTGATATGGCTGGGCCATTGATTTTCACCTCCATAAGTGACCAGATGGAATTCAACGTCCCTAAAATCGAATTGTGGAATGTCGAAGCATGATAGTTGAAGCTAAATCTGATCACTTACTTAACGCCTTTAGAGTGCAACTCGTTGCTGATTTCTGGGATGAGTGTCTTGATTAATTTCTCGTAGATGACCTGGTTTGATTTTTGGGTATCAACAATCAAGACAATATCGGCCGACTTGGAGGGCAATTTGACGCTGAATGTGTCTCCAACACTGTAGGGCTTGTCGCCGTTAGTACATTTCACTGAAAAGCAGATAACATTAAATACTTGCAACTGATTGGACATGAGTGAATGAAAAAATGTCTCCCAGACCAGCTTACCAAGAGATTCGGGAACATGAACAGGAATGTTTCGCTCCTGGCAGGCAGCAACATAGGCCTTAGCGATAGATTCCTCAGTGTCTTTAACATTGGCAGCCAAACCATGAGCACATGCAGTTTTGAAGTTCTCTGTGGAGACGAATGGATAGCACACCCGCAATGGAGATTCCCAGCCAAACAGTTTGGCACAAGCGGGGTTTTCATGTACCTGCTATGAGGAAACCGTAACTCCCATTGGAAATGCATGCCAAGCTTTCGACTTACCGCTCCATGTTGGGGCAGGGCAACGTCAGGGCATGAGCTGGACAGTTTGTAGGCGTTTGCGAATTGGGACTCAGTAGTTACAATCTTGCCATGAGGAATCGTAAGATCGTCGTAGGGTTCACCGTTGCCGTTTCCTAAAAGTCCCCTGATTTGTCCATGGTAGAATCCAGATATTTTCACCACACAGCCGCTGAGGTCTGGAACACATTCCACTGCGATTCCAGACGTGGATACTAGAGTGACGATTTCGTAGTCTCTGAAGGCAGCCAATGTTGGCTTGCGCAGCGGCAACTCGACGTTGTCTGCAAAGGAGGAAGTTGATTGGTTAATTACGAGTAGGTCTGGGTAACTCAGTGAATTTTTAGGAGTTGGCGCAGTGCTGCGCAAATGGCTTGGTGCGCCAACCCAACGCACCGGCTCAATAACTCAGTTCCGTTGCTGTGAAAATGTTGATGACCTTCTTTACTTGTTTTAGATATATATATTCCTATAGAAAAAGGCTATCGACCCAATCGGTCTTTCTGCTCTTGAGTAGTACATATATGTCTTAGTCTAGCTTATTCTAAAATTAAGTCCTATTCCTAACACTGGTATAATTCAATCAGTGATAAAAAAAATAAAAATTCCTGGCCCACAAAACAAACAGGTTTTAGTCGTTAGTTCAGTTGCGTTTGTAGGTGTTCTAGTAAAGTATCTGTTGGGGTACGAAAACGGGAATGTTCTATCCGTCCTGTTAGGCAAAGGGGATTCAGTATGGTCCAGTTGTGAGGGTTGTTTGTCCATTTTGTCTGTAAGTGTATTAGTCTTTCCGAAATTTTGGTCATGTTGCGTTCGTATAGTAGTTGGTTGAAAGGGTTGTGCAGGGGGTTTTGGGGGTGTCTTATTCGTGTTATTAGTTCTTGTTTTAGATTATTTTAAAGTCCATTTATTAATAATATTTTTTAAATGTCTTCAATTTTCACAATTTTCCAGTTTGGGTTAAGTTACTTTTTCTTCTAAATGCTCAATTTTCTAGTTTCACTTAAAAATGCTGACAATCTTAAGGTATTTTCCGCAAAATTTATGAAATAAATTTCGAATCCTTCGTCGCTTTGTAAAAAGTTTTGAAATCCCCTTCCAGCTTCGAATTTGGGACAAACATCAAATAATTTTCTAGCAAAAAACGAACAGAATAATCGAGTTTATTACTGATTATTTGGAAGACTATGGAATTTGTTAAAAAATGTGTTTTTTTTGTGTTGACTGAACTTTTTGTTGCTTTACTGTCTACTCAAAAACGATCCATTTTGTAGAGTTTCACTTAAAAATACTGACGATCTGGGGGACTGTGACGCGAAAAATTACAAGCTAAATTTAAAGCTTTGTAAAAATTTTTCAAAAACGTTTTTAGCGTCGAATTTGGGACAAAAACGAAAATACATTCCTCCCTATTTTCCCCGAAAACCATTAAGGTTTTCACCAAAACCAATCACAAAACTGAAAGTTTTTACTCGAAAACGCGAAAAAGCATTATTTTCGGAAGATTTTCTTCTTTTCTGACAATAATGGGGTCTTTTCAGCCAAAAATTACAAAATTAATTTTGCTAGAAAATTCGCCTCATTCATCGGTTTGCAGGGAACTTTACAAAACCCATTTCAGCTTCGAATTTGGCACAAAAAAAAATTATTCAGTTTTTTACGGAAAGTAATTAGGATTATCTTGAAAAAACGACCAAAGGAAAAGTTTGCAAAAAATTATTTGAAAAATTCATCGCCCTCCTCACTCTCTCGCGTTTATATTAAGCAATTCTTTATCCGCAAAAATCCCATTATTTTTTAGTTTTTCTTAAAATACTGACAATCTTTTTTTTATTTTCTGTAAAAAAATATAGGTTAAATTTTATTGAACCACTCGCCTCCTTAACCGCTTTGCAAATATTTTTGGAAAACTTTTTGCAGCTTCGAGTTATGGACAAAACCGTAATAATTATTTCTGTGTGTTTTTCCAAAAATATTTCCCCGAACTGAAGAAGCGAAAGTTTACAATCATTTATTTGGAAAACTCTTGGAAACTGGGTTTCTTCAATTTTAGGTCAATATTTCTAAACAACACTGTCTCTAAAGAGAAAAACCGCGTTTTTCCTAACGTTTTACTGTAAAATACTGGCAAACTCGGCAAGAAAACTCGTCGACTTTCTTTGGACTCAGTTCTGTGTCAAGGAAAGTCTACATGACTTTTTTTAGTTGTTTGAACAAAGTAGTAAAACGTTACATTGAGCAATTGAGACTGAACTCACCTTGGTTTAGTTTCACTTTTCCTCCTTGGAGAAGGGTGAGGGAGCCGGATTCATCAGCCAAAGTGATCGAGGCCAAAAGCCCATCTTTGTAAGCTCCAGCCAGTGTAAAGTTGCCATTCACTGCATCTCTGGCCAGCAAGTAGTTGCATTTGCCTGGGAAGGTCAGATGTTGTCCATCGAACGTGAAGATATGTTGTCCTTGGACGATGATACCGAACACTGAAACCAATCGCTGTTGATTACACGTTCTTAACTAGTAATGGAAACTCTCGAGTTAAATCATTCGAAATAAGTTTGATTGGGAATGTTACCCGGTGAACAATACCTAATCAAGCGACTTACATGGGAATGGTGGCACAAGGTTTCTGGGTTTGTTGACCAAACTGAGAAGAACTTTTCCCAGTTCAGGGGACACGCTTTCGTTCAAAATGTAGGACAATGGAGAGAACTTTACAGCAACTAGTCTGGGCAAGTTCTTCAGGTAACTAAAAGGCAGAAGACTGTTGGAGTCCAAGTTGGTTCCAGGGATCTTCAAGTCGTCAGTATGAATAATGAGGGCCAGTTTCTTTACAATTGCCGCAATAGATCTAATGATGTCTTCAATAGCGGCCACGTCGTTCACTTGTTGGCTGTTCAGTTTCTTTAAATGAAATTAATTAGTGAACAACAGTATAAAGATCGCAGATCGTCACCTTTTCAACGTAGTTGACGATGGAGTCCAAAAGAGCATTAATGTCCGCCCTAACAGCAAAGTCCACAGGAATAACGTCCTTGACGAAGTTGGACGCTTCTCTCAAAGCGTTGATAATTGTCTCTGCACTTGGGACGCCTTGTTTGACAAACTGAAATCCGATGCATCAAGCAAATTCAATCACCAACAACCCATCACCACTCACCTTTTCGTATTGGATCTTAAGTTCCTCCAAGTAACGAGAAGACTTGACTTCGCTGACTAGCCTTTTGACGATTGATGTGATGTTTTCAAAGGAGTTTTCATAGATGCGATAGATTAGTCTGCCAAAGTCCTGGAACAACTCGCCGAAGGATGACGCAAGTTCTTGCAATTCCGGTTCATATTTCTCGATGATTTGGCTTGCTTTGGCTGCAACGCCCAATGCCATTTCAAGAACGGTTCCCAAGATATCTTTCGCGGCGGACAACAGTTTGGAGCCGAGTTCTTTGACTTCAGGGATCAACTCATTTTCGATCGCTGCAATTACACTGTTGAAAGAGTTCTGAAGTATCGCAGTTGATTCTTCGGCAATCTTGCTCAGTTTGTCGAATAGTTCAGTGGCGGCTGTGATCAGAGATCCTAAGATCTTCCTCAGAACTTCTCCGAGCTCCTTGATGCTCTTGTCGTTGAGGATTTCCTGTTTAACTTCTTGCAGTTCGTTTGCGTAGTATTGCTGGAGAGGTTTCAGATTGGGGATGGCAGTTTTGGCAATTTCCCCAACAGATTTCACTTCCTTTCTTGCTCCTTCGACCCATTCCTTGCTGGTAGCTTCCAGTCCTTTCAGGTAAGTTGTCAGTTTTTCCTTAACTATTTCCAGATTTGCCTTGATGGCTTTGGAGTCCACCTTGTGTTCGGATTTCAAGAAATTGACTTCGTCTAGTTTAACTGTGGCATAGAAGAGAGTAACTTTGCTGCCGGCGTCTTGGACTTCTCCACGAATGTCCGCTACTTGGCCGGGGATGAGACCAGCATTTAGCAGGAATTTTCTGTTAGGTTCACCTGGAAAAAATTAAGCTATGAAGTTTGACGGGTTGTGATCGGTAAAAGAGTAGCTTACTGCTGCTTGATACGCTGTAGGATAAAGTGTTGGCGTTTTTGATCTCCAATCGGCTGTTCACTGGAACGTTGTTGTATGAAGAAACTTCAGACTCAATGATCTGGTCATTGTCAGTGATCGTGATCTTGTTCACGCTCTTGATCAGAACCGTGTCGAAGACTTTGACGATTCCAGATATTTCGGTGGGCGACCATTTGGTGGCAATTACGTTTTCTTGTTTCGTTTGGCCGATGTTGACGTTGGATTTTGCTTCATAGGAGAATACCTATTTAAGGAAAATTATACAATCGTTTCTTGCCTAATCAGTGTATAGTTGTGGAACTTACTTTACTAGTTCTGTCTGCTGACACAATTTGTGAACCTTGAACGTTCACTCCCAATCCCTGGCTCTTGAGTGAACCGATGATTTTCGATGTGCCACGTGTTCTGGCATCATCCAAAGAAACCACTTGTTGGAAGGTTGCGATTAGTTTCTGGTTATCTTGAGCGAAAATGTTGAGCTCAACTAGGATGTCGAGTTTTCCATTAAAGGTGCTCCCTTCTCTAATGGCTTTGAATGAAGCGGCCAGAGGCTGTAGAGAAGCAACGATATTCACCTGCCTGGATTGGTGGTCATTTCAATACATACCTTTTGAAGTCCTGGGTGATTGAATTTCGCTTCACCGGTGATTTTGCCTTTGAGGTCAACATCCAAGAACCAGTTCAAAGCCGTTTTCTTGCTGGCATGATTCTTCTTGTCCAAATAGAAGGCGATTTCTCCGCTTCCTTTGCCGCCTTGCTTAAAGTTTTTCGGTAGAACGGTTTTGCTTTCCAGAGACACGATTCGTTTCGGTGTCGTTAGGCTGACGCCACCCTCGTTTGGTCGCAGGTAGAAGCTGTACTGGTATTTGCTGTTCTCCTGATTTTGGAAATGAGCGTCCACAGTGTGGTCGACGATCCATCCCTTCCTGTTGGTAACGGCTTTGAGGCCGAATTCATGAGACAAGCCCAGTTTTCGCAGATCCAGGTTGATTTCCAACACTTGGTTAAACGTTTCCACTTCTGCAATAAATAAATCAGTTGCATTGTCTTGAATCTAATCGGAAATTAGCTACTTGAGCCTGTTGAGCAACAACATTTCAATCACTCACCAATCGTGTTAATCTTGTTATCAATCTCGATGTATGCGCATTCCTTCTTCTGTTCGCAGTAGGAATTTTGCACTCTGAAGTGTTTGCTGGTTAATTTGAATTCCGAGTCTACAGCTCGGTCGCCCAAAGCGCCATCGAAGGAGACCTGGACGCCCTGTTCAGCGTTTTTGTCCTGTTCCAGTTTCTGGAAGATGTACTTGAAGTGTCCAGATTTCGAAGCATCTTTGACCTTTAAGGTTCCGCTTCCATCGATGATGAATTTGCCATTCTCGTCCTTGGCACCGTACGTGAAGCTTCCAGAGATGTAGTTCTTGCCGGCTGTTTTTACGGAAATTTGGATTTTGTTGTCGTTGTTGCTTCCTTTGGTATGGGCGTCGAAGACAATCTTGTCCAGGTTGAGGGATGGCGAGTTCACTTGGCCTTTCACAACAAGGTTTTCCACATTCTCAACATTGACACTCAATGTTCCGTCCAGGAGGAATGACTTTTCTTCATTCACCAGCTTCAAGTCAGCTGAAAGTTATTGAAATTTTCTGATTAGATGAGCGAAAATGATTGTTACGGTGATTTTTATGTCAGTTGCGTAATAGGCAAAGAACTTACCGCTGAATTGCTTGTAGCTGACTCTGTTGGCTTTAGCGTAGATCTGGTGCAGTTTTCCGTTAGCTCCAAGAAGTTTGACGCTTATAACTGGACTCAATTCACTCAGAACTAACTCGGTGTCCAATTTCCAAACTTTTCCATCAATGGTTAAGTCCAATGACGATGTAAGGTCTTTGTTGTCCTTTGATCTTCTAGCGTTAACGTTCAGCTGGGTGTTTCGATATCCTTCGACAGGAGTTTGTAAACCAGCCGACAACTTCACTTGATTTTCGGAAGTTCTTTCGCCAGAAATTTCCCCTTTCACCGATTCTCCATTTCCGTAAGTTACAGCTGCGCTAACAGCACCAGTCTGTTTTTCCTGGTTGATGTTGTAGGTCAAATCAACTCCAATCGGTTGGATTTTGTTAAGAGCCAAAGTTCCTTTAACTTCTCCAGATGATGTGGCTATTTTAGCGTTTCCTTGTGACTTGAGATCCACCAAAGGACCCTCTGCATTAAGGGCTTGAACATTTAATGAGCCTTCTATCTGTAAGTCTTTTAAATGGGCAACAGATCCACTGATATCGGCGTTCAAGGATTTCAAATGTTTCGAGCTGGTTGTTGCCTGAATCGTCAAAGCTCCACGTTTGGTTTGGGAGCTTAAGTCGTGGTTGCCTTTGATGGTCACAGAGTTGTCAGGTCCATAACTGCTGCGGATTTCAATTTGTCCGGTAACGCCCTTTTTGCAATTGGTCGCCACTGTTACCTCGACGGGATTTTTCAAAATACTGCCATACAGTTTTCCTGCGGAATTCAGTGTGGTAGCATCGCTTTCCTCAGATATTAAGAGGCTCAAATCAGAGTTGATGTTTTTGCCATTGCTGTCGTCTGCTGATAGATTCACAACGACATCAACGCTTTTCTTTTTCAGATTTGTGTTTTTCCATGTGGTTTTCAACCCCAATTTGCGGCCAGGCGTATTTTTGTTCGACCTGTACTCCAGGCTGCCCTCAGTTTGTCCATTAAGAAGGTCGTTTTGTTGTTGATGATCGCAATTTCCTCGAGCTAAAAAGTATTGGTCCCCTGGAAGAGTCACCTCCAGTTCTCCATTGAGCTTTCCTGTTTGGCGATCGCCAGTTCGAGATGCTTTCACGTTCACTTCGACGGGATGGCCGAGAACATCCAGCTTGTTGTTCGATTCCAGACTAGTATCAGAAACCTTGTTCTGGGTGCTGAGCAAGATCTTTACGTTCTTGTCTTTGTTGAAGGATGGATAGAGCGAAATGGTTACATCGTATGATTTACTGATGTGGATGGCGAAAGTGGTCTCAGCTTTGATTTGGCGTTTTCCATTTTGCAAGTCGATCAGAATGTCTCCGCTGCCGGCACCGTTATTGGCATGAATCTGACCGTTAACAGTAACGGCATTTTTTAGATTCACCTTGATGCTTCCATTGGCGTTTCCCTTTTTGTTGGCTTTGATGAACGAGTCGATGACATGGTCGGATCCGGAGCTGATTTTAGCATGGGCATCGATTTCTTCCTGGTTCACTTTCAGTCCCAAGCCCACTTTGAAAGGAGTTGCATGCGAAGGAACATGAACAGTCAAGTCGGCACCAACATCAATGTTGTGCGGACGCAGAACATGACGTACTTTTCCATCCAGTTCTAGTTTTTTGCCATTCAGTTCAAGACTGTTGGAGATCTTGCTCTCATCATTGGGCAGGACCTGTCTTCGCGATTTCAGTTGCAATTTATTTTCCAGTCCCCAGATTTCAAACTCCACATCGTAGTCTCCAGCGGTTTTTTCGTCGATTTTCGCTTCCAGTTCTGAACCCAACTTCAGTTCACCATATTCAGCATTAATTTCGTAGTCCAAACTCTTGGGCGTTTGTTCCAATTCGAATTTGGCGCTGACGCCCAACAGCGGATAGCTGAGGCTATTTTTCGTCTCGAACCTGAAGTCCGAGGTACTTTTGAATTTGTTCACCAAGCTGGACGTTACGGAGATAATCGCAGATTTGGAGTTTAGGTCGGGTCCGTGGATCAATTGAATGGCTGCATCGTAGTGCGATTCTTGCTTTTTGAACTCGCCCTTCAAGTTGAAGTTTGCGTTGCTGTTGATGGAGTTTTCAATTTTCACGTTGAATTTGATTAGTTCGCTGGTTAGTTGCAAACGGCCTGAAATAGCAAAAGCTTGTTAAGTATGGGATCTGAAGTCTGAAGGGAATTTAGGCTAGCGAATTACCTTCAAGACCAACATTATGGGCGCCGTTGGAGATTTTTACATCGGAGAAGAAAACTCCGGCCTCTCGGCCAACGTTTCCGGACACTGTAAGTTGTCTTTGGGCATCGAATACCTTCACATTTTGGAAAATAATCTTCAGGTTTTCACCGCTCGATTCCACTACTACTTCGCCTTCTGCTTTTACGGGTAGAGGTTGTTGTCCTGAGGGCGTTTTCAGTTCCAGGATTGGTTTGTAAACGGCGCGTTCAGGTGTTCCGGACACCGATACACCAATTTTTCCTACTATTTCATCTTGATCGTTCAAAATCTGAAACATTTCCATCAATGAAGTTTTCCTGTTTCGGGACAGTTTAGTACGAAAGGAAAAATCAAAAGGTAACAGGAATCTATGATTTTGCTGGTCTTCGGCACTTTCAACAAGGGATGGAGATTTCGGTAGATGAAGGCAACTTTTGCCGATTTAATGATGCGAAAGTCGTTAAAARTGAATTTGCGCTGATGGTTATACTGATTGGATGCTTTCGAATGTACAAGCTGGTTCAGAAGCGGAAACTAAAAGAGTTTGCATTATAAGAAACGCYTCGTAAAGGAAAAGGCAGGGTGCTTAAGTTTGGTTTAGAAAATCAAATTTATAAATGGTTGCCAAACGGCTGTGATTAAAACAACATTTTGCAGGCAATATTTGCACCTTTTGCAATGAATGTATAAAAGCGAGATGACCCTGCAGATTTTTTTTTAACAGTATTAAAAATTTCATTCTTTGAAAACAAATTTATTTTCAATGTCTCGATTATGTACAGCAAATTTTATCGGTTTTTTAATTCGCTCATCAAAATAATTGCATTTAGCATTTTCTTTTACTGGCAGGTCATAACCCGATGTTTATTTCA